TAGACCCCTAGACCCTTAGACCCCTAGACCCTTAGACCCCTAGACCCTTAGACCCCTAGACCCTTAGACCCCTAGACCCTTAGACCCCTAGACCCCTAGACCCCCTTTTTTTATAGTCAGGAAATGCATTTACAATGCAAATGCAATGGCGTAGGGAGTGTGGGACTCGCCGGCCACAGAAGGTGACCAGAATACCCACTAAACCCTGACTGCCCTCTGACGCATCGGGACGGGACCACGGGCACGCTTTCCGCGGCCCCGTCTGCGCCAGCTGCCGAGGCAGCTCCCTCACGGGGGGGGGGCCGCCCTCAATGGCGGGCAATGGACTCCCCCGCATCCATTACCCGAGGGCTATCGTGGGGGGGGGGGAGGGCGGCGACATATTGCCGCCTTCTCCTCCCCACTTTCCGACGTCGGAGCGGGGGCGCCTGAGGGTCTCTCTCGCGCTCCCGCTCCGGTGCCTCCTTCTGCGAAATCACCTCTTCGCAGAAGGAGGCAACGGCGTCCCAGGACCTCTCACTTCCTAGCATGGCGCGTATAACGCCGGGAAGTGAGAGGTCGTCGCCGAACGCCGCCACCAGGGTGCGGCGCTCTTCTGACCAGGCGCAGCACACTTCCAGCGTGTGCTGCGCCGTATCCTCCGGGTCGCCGCACCCATGGCACAGTGCCGTCTCCTCCCTTCCTATCCTCCACAGGTACCGCCCGAAACAGCCGTGTCCGGACAGCACCTGTGTCAGACTGAAGGTGAGGGACCCGTGGCTCCTCCCACACCATTCCGGGAGCTGTGGGCGTATGGCCTCTATGGTTCGCACGTCATATTCGGCGTGCATTCTCCGTGGACCGTGGAGCTCCGGGCCACTCGCCCAGAGCTCCACGGTCGTCCTCCTCCTCGCCTCCTGGGCACGGGAGAGCCCCTCCGGGGCCGGTACTTCGCCCCGGGCTCTTTGTTCCGCCCGCGCCCAGTAGGCTTCAGCCAGCACTCCCGCCTCTATTTCCCAAGGCGTTGCGGCCTGCGGAGGAGGGCCCTGTTCGATGCGTTAAGGGCGTCTGCCCATATTGGTGCACCGTACAGGGCCATACTTCGGACGACCGTGGTGTACAGCAGCCTTGCATGTACACCCGGACCTCTCAGGTTAGGGAGGAGCCTCGCAAGGGCTGTGGCCGCGCCCACGAGCCGGGGGGTCAGCGCTCGGAAGTAGACCCCTAGACCCTTAGACTTTTAGACCTTTAGACCCTTAGACATGTGTATATGTAAACAGAGAAGACTTGCTATTTTTAGCAATCCATTACCTTCTATTTTATTTATTTTTTGTAAGGTAAGACATAATAATTTAAACAATACTTTCGTCCATCAATTTCTGAAATGTTATTTTTTTTTACACACTGGTCTTCTCTTTCCTTATTTTTCAAATACAGTTTATTTCCGTACTCACGGTTTTATCCTCGTCGCCAATGTATTTTGAATTCTGAATTTCTTTTGAATAAACTACTTCTGTTAAATTCATTTGACACTTTGCGGATGACAGATATTAGGTCGATAAAACCAAAGTTTGGTCTCGTGGCCTTACCGTTCGCCGCCG